TATTATTATTATTATTATTATTATTATTATTATTATAAAATATATTTAAAAGAAGGACGAGATATAGAAAAAGAAAATCTTTTTAAAAAAAAATTATTACGAAGAAAAGGTGAATGAACTTTGAGTCAAGATTTTTTTTTTTTTTTATATAAAGAAAACTAATTTAGATTTTAGTTATAAAATAAATAATAAAAAATTATTAATTAACTTATTAAATTTTTTTTTTTTTATACGGATGACTTACATTAACGTATTTTAATAATTTTATTATTTATTAATTTTTTTCACGCGTATAAATTATAATTAAACTGAAAAGATAATAATAATAAAATTTTAAAATCAATAATCGCACATTAATAAAAAAAAAAAAAAAAAAAATTTAATTTAATTTAATTTAATTATAAGAAAAGGTTTTTTATTAATTAATTAATTTTAAAAAAAACTCATCACATAAAAATTTATTTATATATATATAAATAAAAGATCGTTGTCCTCGTTCCAAAAAAAAAATAAAAATTTACACCAAAATGAACAACAACAACAACAACAACCACGATCAAAGGCGCTCGCCATACTGAAAATTATTTCGATGCAAAATAAAAAAAATAGCAGCCAAGCGAGGGCGGGAGTGGGGAGGGGCGTGTAATAATATTATCCAACTTATTCCAGTTTTCCATTTAGTCATATGGAGAGAAACTTTTTTATTTAATTTCTTTCCACACACACACACACACGTAATCTAATATTATTATTATTATTATTATTATAAAATTTATATTTAATTTATTTATTTAATGTAATAAATAATTGATTATAATGGCGGAGAGAAAGAAAATTAAAGAAAAAAAAATTGACAAAACCAAAACCCCTCCCCCCTTTTCAAAGGGGGGGAGTCAAAGAAATGAATAAAATATTTAATGTTAATTTATTTATTTTAATAAAATAATAATAATAATGATAAAATATTGTTAAATGATGATAAAAATTAAAATAATTTCATGTTTTAAACTGTTTTTGAAATAATAAATAAATTTTGGTGTTCAGTTTAATCACGTTCGTTCATTCATTCGTAATGTGTGCGAGTTTGAAGTGGCAACAACGTGGCAATCAATAATATATATTTAAATAATTAATTAATTATCGATCGATTATACAAGAATGTCAGTTATTGAAAATAATTTAAAAGAAACAAATAGTGTGACGACGACATCATTAAATTCAGGTTTAACGACGTCAAATGATTTGATAAGTCGTATTGATATCACGGAATTAACGTCCTCACCAAGCGAACAATCATTATCAACTTCGGCCGTTTTATCTGCATGTAAACAAAAAATTTTAAGGCCGTATTTAAGGCTTTTATCCGTTATCGGTTTAAGAAGTTTCGGTTCCGATGGTCCGAACACATCAAAATTCATTTGTTTTTTAAATTACGGTCATTTGATTATTGTTTTTATATTTATAATATCCGGATATGTTCTTCAATACATGGCATGTTTTCGAAGAGACCAAGGATTTTCATGTTCGGAGTCATACAACTTGAAAAATGTCACATTTGGATTTGTACTGCCAAGCATATTGCATTTCCTAGGTTGTGCCTATGCATTATATTTGTTTAGATTTAAAGAAAGCGAACAGTTTGAAAGATTGATGGAAAGAACGTTTTTACTATCCGCACATAGAGCAAATGGACGAAAAACATCTTTTGTAAAAAGGTTATGGGTATTCATATATGTTAGCATTGGGTGGGTCGTCACGTCATTTTGTTCCATATTGTTGCTTTTGGTTTTTAATAATAATAATGTCTCGTTCAAATGGATAAATTCAAACGTTTTTAACGTCGGGTTAGATGTTCTTTTTGTACTTACCACTCTTTGGCAGGACATCGTTCAAGCTGCTTTGATAACGAGTTATTGCATGCAAGTTTTATTACTTACAACGAGTTTGTGCATCCTGCGGGAAAAACTACTTCAACACACCATCGATCCCCTGTCCTGGATAAGAGAAATAAACGAATGTCAAAATGTACTCAATTACCTCAATCACGATTTTTCCCCCGCTGTTTGCATATTTATTTTTCTCAACATATCCTGGATCATATCTTGGGTTATATCATTTTTAAAAACGGAAAATTTGGGTGATGACGTTTCCATATTGGCAATAATGAGTTTGTGGTCGATATCTGCACTTGCTCCCTTCATATTAGCCGCAAATTTAAATGCGACTTGTATAAAACTTCGTCATTTGGGACACGAAGTAAGAATTCGACCCTTTGTCTATCAGGACACTCCTGGAGAAGAATTAGATACAATTTTATTATATACGGCTACGTTGAGATTAAAATCAAAACTTTTTGCCATACCCATATCTGGACCATATTTGTACACGTGTTTCACCCTCCTGGCAATGTCTGTTTTGGTAGCAGGCCAATCTTCTTTACTCTAATAAAAAAAAAAAAATTTAATTGCGTGTTAATAAAATTATTTACATATTTTCTTCTTTATCGTACTTTTTTCTTTTTTTTTTTAAATTAAACATTCATTATTATTATTATTTCGGCAGTCAAAAAAAAAAAAAAATCCCATTATAGACGATGGAGAATGAAAATTGCTTTAAAATAATAATACTAATATAATTTTTTAAATAAACTTTAATTTGGATATGAGGTTTTGGTTTTTGGGGTTAGGGGAGAAAAAGGAAAAAAGAAAAATTTTTTTTTAATTACAATAAATTCAAACTCATAGAAAATTTTCAATTCCCCTTCCATGAAATGAATACAAAAGGGGGAAAGTTGTTTTGGTTTGCCAAAAAAAAATTTTTTTATTATTACTAATAATTACCGCATTAATTTAAAACTATTGTTTATTATCTTTTGTCACTTGAATGATTAAAAATAAACAAATTTTTTTTTTTAATAATAATAATAATCCATACTTAATGAAATTGAAATCATACCCAAAAATTATTTATCATTAAAACAATAATTTTGATTAATTATAATTTACATAACTCATAATAATAAATATGAGATGTTATATTATTTGTTAATTTAAATTAGTAAAAGATGAAAAAAAAAAAACAGGTACGCCCTTGTTACAGTTTTTGTTTTTAAACGAATACAAAGTTAATAAAAAAAAAAAAAAAAAAAAAAAAACCAAGAGTACCTTGACCAAAATCCTAACTCAATTAATTTAACCTAATTTAAAAAAAAGTTTTAATATTATTATTATTATTATTAATAAAATATTTATCTGTTAATAAATTTAAACTTATGGTAATATAATTTAAACATTTTGATTTTTTTTTTGGTAAACAAGTAAATTATGTTATTATAATAAATTAAAAAAAAATAAAATACGACAAACATAAATTTATTTTTGTACTTTGTTTGTCTAAAAGATAAATTTATTATAATGATATTATAATCCATTTTCACAAAAAACAGGATAAATAATTTTATTTATTACAAAAATTTCAAAAACAAAAGTTTAACTTTAAAAATGAAAATTATATAAAATATTTATTTTCGAGATAAAATCTTAATTTATAGTACATGAAAGTAAGCGAATAGTAATAGTTAAATGCGAAATTTGTTTTATTAAATATAAAAAATGTATTATTATTATTATTATTAAACTTTTAATCATCTGCATCAATTTGGCATTTTACATACAAAGTAATATAAAATTTGTATTTAATAAAAAAAATGGTGAATATTTTTTGTTACAAAAACACATTTTGTATCTTATATAGACTGATATATATATAATGTCAATTATATCAATTTAATAATATGCATATATATATATATAAATGATATTATGTTAAAATATTAAAATAATTTCTTATTAATCTAACTTGAGAAACGATTAATAAAATAACACTAAAATCAAAAAAAAATTATTATTATCTTAATTGTTAATATTGCTTATTATAAAACATTAATAACTTGTCTAAAAAAAAAGCTTTTTAGTAAATCAATAAACTTGTCAAACAAAAAAATTTACTTTCATTAATTATTTTTTACGTTTATGACGGATTATGTCGGATTTATAAATTGTTCTAACATCTTCCTTGAAAAAATACTCTTCTTTCAGGTCAACAAATAACTTTTTGTCCTTTTAACAAATCATTTTTAACATCTAAATATGATTTTTGTTCAGAACTTTCCTGTAAATTAACAAACAAGAAATTGTACCTATTACTATATTATACCTATTATTAATTTTTAAAAAATAAAAAAAAATTTCACAAACTCTTACCTTATCCCAGTTTTCCGAAGATTCAGGCAATTCAATGTCATAAACAACAGGATTTAATTTTAAATTGTTTGAATCATGTGTGAAAATATTTAATTTCCTAATATCCTTACAATTTTCAATGTGATACTAAAATGATGAGGAAATGATAAAAGAAAATATTTATTTTTATGGAATTTTCAATAAATTAAAAATACCCCCCCCCCAATTTAATCGAAAAGGTACAAATTGTGATGAGACATGATGTTAACAAATAAACTTCAATTTACTTTTTATTTAAATCATATAAATAACAAAATCACTTATGGAGTAGTTTAAAAAAAAATTAGATTTAGAATATAAACTAAATAAATAAATATATATTTATCCATGCCTTATACTCGAGACTTGGTATGTGATGAGTAGAATTAAATGGACATATTTTAAATTCATCAGATTTATGCTGCTCGCGACATTTTGTTAAATGAATTGCCATTTTTCCTGCTGAAATTGAATGAGCTGAATCATATGGACAAATTATTGTTTTTTCCTCCATATTCTAACCAAAAATAAAAACAATATATTATAACTAACAAAACTAAATGAAACAGAAATCATCATACTTTTTATTTAATAATTAAAAAAAAAAAAAATAAGTAAATAATTACATTAACAGAAATTGTCACAACAATGCATAAATTTTAAAAAGTGTTCGAACAAAAAAACAACCGTTATAAGCAATAAAATAACCAATCAGCTTTGCCTGTTGAAACAACTTAAATTAAACGGAAAAATTTTTGGCTTATAAATAATAATAATTTGTATTTTAAAATATTTTAGATTTTGATTACATTCACATCTGCAGAAATTTCTGTGACAGTTTCTCTGCCATTATTATTATTATTATTAATGTTTTTTTTTTTTTTGCTGAGATTAATAAATTAGTAATTTGAAACTTAAAGTTGTTTAGTCAACATAAAAAAAGTCATTGTTTAAAAATTTGTCTCCCATTACTCTCTGTGGAATAATTTTTTATTATGAATTTACTTTTTACTAAACTTAAATCTTTTACTTCTGTTATTTCCCCCATTGTTTTTTTAAAATAAAATGAAACAAATTTCATGTTTTCTTTAGAATTAAGAATTTTGGTAAAATCTTTGTTTGCTTCTTCAACCCATTTTTTAATTCATTCAAAACCTTTTTTTTTGTTCAGAATATGTTAGTACTTTTTCAATAAGTCGTCGAAATTTCTTTTAAAAAAAGCATATTTATTAAAATTTCACCTTCTAAGGTAAAATAATTTGAAAAAGCTTAAATCGGATTTCATCGATCAAGTTTTCGATGTTAGTTGAAAACCAGCGTTTAAAGTTGCATCAAGCATACTTTATCAATTTCAAATAATATATATCCGTTTCAAAATGGCGACCATGGATGATAAAGGTTTACAGAGTTATTTTATATAAACATTTTTTTTTTTTTTTAATTAATTCATTTTTTTTATAAATTGTTATCTATTATTAATAATACATTTAACATAAATTAATTTTTTTTTATAATTATCAAAAGGCTATGTTTGCATGCTTTCATTATAGTTTCTTTGATTGTAGACAAAAAATGGCCGGTTACAATATTTAAAAGTTTAACATTGAAAATATGTAATTTAAATAAAATATAAATATTGAGAGTTATGTTTATACGCAGGTTTAATTCAAAATTCAGAAATAAATACAAGTACGGTAAAAAGTTCAGATTTTGAAAATGAAAGCAGCGACGACGATGAAAATGATGATACATGGAATGAAATGGATAATGAAAGCAATAGTTTTATGAGTTGCTTGTTTTGCGATCAAAATTTCAAAACAATGGCTGTGGCTTTGGAACATTGCAAAATCGAACACAAATTAAATTTGCCTTACCTTAAACAAAAGTTTAACATGGATTGCTATTCGTATATTTGTATGATAAATTACGTTAGACGTGAACGAATCTCATCAGAAATGTTATTATCGTTCAAAGATCCACCTTGGCTAAATGGAGAGTATTTAACGCCTGTTATTCAAGATGATCCTTGGCTTATGTTTGGTAAGCTGAAAATAAAATTAATAAATTTTAATCTTAAAATTTAAATCTTAATTAAATATCTATAAATCAAATATCTTCTCATTTAAATATATTAAAATTTAAGTTGTAGGATAAATAAAAAACCATTTATATTTGATTTTCTCCATTACTTAAAAGTAAAGATTTCTTTCGTTTAGTTAATCGAATTAAATTATTCCTATATAAAAACAAATTAAAGCTAATTTTTTTTTGAATCATTTGAATCAAAACTTTAAAATATTAAATTGATTCAATTTAAAAATCTTTTACTGAAGAATCTTCTTTAAAAGTTACTCAGGCTTTCTTGATTTTCTTTCAGTGCTTGTGTTTACCTGGTTTGGTCCTTTGATTCCTAAAGTTGTGAATTGAAATCCTGTGGTGAGTGTAAATGAATAAATTGTTAACCGAAAATCACCACTTCTTGACACTTCTTTAAATTCATGCTTATTTTTTTTGTATATATTTTAAAAAATTTTTTCCATTTTTTATTTCGAAAAGTTTTTTTGTTGCAAGCATTGTTTAAGTTATTAGTTTAGCACTTAAAAAAAAAAATTTTTTTTTTTTTTGTAATTGTTTCGTATATTCTTTTGATATTTTTTTTAGATTTTGATGATGTAGAAATACCTGATGAATATGTAAATCAAACACCTGTTCAAAATTACCACGTTGTGAATGCTGAAAATGGTTTAGTTACTCTAACAGAACAACATTTTGCTCAATTACAGACTAAAATAAAGCATTTAAGTTTACAGGTAATAATATTATTTGTCAACTTAATTAAATAATTTTTACATTTTTTATATAAATTTGGCATTACATAATCCAAATTTTATTATTTTAGCTGCAAGAAAAAGAAGAAGTTTTAAATTTTGCTGTTAATCAAATTGATAAAATGAAAGCAGTGACACAAAATCTTGTTTCAGAATCATCAGAAAGCGAAGCTTTAAATCGAGAAAAAATGAAAATTAAATTAGTAGATGATAATGGATATTTTAGTAGCTATTCACATTTTGGAATTCATCTTGAAATGTTATCTGTATGGATTTTGAACCTGTTTTTTTTTTCATCCTTATTTTATCCCGCAAAATGCATTGAAATAAATTTTTTTTTTTTTTTTTTTTTTCAGGATAAAGTAAGGACTTTAAAATACAGAAATGCAATTTTAAATAATTCATCTTTAATAGTTAATCAACAAGTTTTAGATATTGGTTGTGGTACCGGTATATTATCCATGTTTGCTGCATCTGCAGGTGCTAAAAAAGTTTATGCTATAGATCAGTCAGAAATAATATACAGTGCAATGGATATAGTGAGGTAATTATCGATTATTACAATTAAAATATCACATATGAAACCAAAATAATTTGTATTAAATGTTTTATTAAATAGGGAAAATGATCTATTAGATAAAGTTCATTTACTGCATGGGAAAATTGAAGAGATTTCACTACCTGTAGAAAAAGTAGATGTTATTATTTCCGAATGGATGGGTTATTTTCTTTTATACGAAGGAATGTTAGAAAGCGTTTTAATTGCTCGTGATAAATATTTGAAAAATGGCGGATGTCTATTACCTGATAGATGTCTTCTTCATTTAGTCGGAATCTCTGACTCAGGTTTGACACATATATATTTATTAAAACTTTTGAAAAGAGAATCAATCATGTAAATAATGAAATTAATTATGATTCAATTACCTTTTGTTTTGTTGTTAGATATGTACGAAAACTTGTTGGGATTTTGGTCCGACGTTTACGGTTTTAAAATGTCTTGCATTGTAAAAGAAGTCATTCAAGAAGCTCACGTATTACAAGTTGATAAAAATTCAATTGCCACGACTTCCGCCGTTATTTTAGATCTCGATCTTTACTCGGCTACCCTAGACTGGTAAATGAAAAAAAAAAAATTTTTATTAATTCATTTAGAGAGTAAATTAAATTAAATGTCGTTAAATTTCTCTAGCATCGATTTCACATCGGATTTTGTTTTGGAAAGTACAATCGATGGTAAATTAACGGCATTGTGCGGTTATTTCGACGCCATATTTGGATTACCAAATTCCGAAATTTTATCAACGAGTCCGGAAACGGATAAAACTCATTGGAAACAAACGTTATTTTTTTTTAAATCTCCCATTAATGTCACCAAAGGTAAAAAAAAAAATTATTTGATGAATTAATGACGCGTTTTCCTTGTAAACAATTGTTTTCTTATAATTTAACTATGAGTATTTGGTTTTTACAGGGAGTTTAATTAATGGAAAAATTACATGTAAAAGACTGGCAGAAGACCGGCGAGCTTTATCTCTAACAATTAATTTAGAAAACCAAGAAAAATTGGAATATTTTTTGATGTAATTTTTTTTTCTCATTTTATTCACGTAAAGAAAATTTCTATTTGGAATTAGTTTTTTAAAATTATTACGTCATAAATAAAAAAAAAATATTAACTAGTCAGATTTTTTTTGATTTAAATTCGTGGCTTTCAACCTTTCAATTTTTTTTTTTTTTTTACTAAAAACTGGATTGTTATATTTGAAAAAATTCAAAAATTAATTTATTTTTAATTTGAAAAATTTTATAATCACGGATTTAAATTAAATTTTCAAATTGATATTGGGATAAAAATCGACTTTTTTTTTTTTAATTA